ATGAAAATTAATTGAAAAAATATCATAACATGATTTTATAGAAAAAATAAAAATGTGCTGCACGATAGATTTAGAACCACGCTCTCAGAATGCATGACACATTGTAACGCAAATCGTGACAGATGCAACACGTTTTATCTTAGTGTCTATCCAAGATCTTACATATTTGTACCCAAGATCTTATACATCTGTATCCAAGATCTTATACATCTGTACCCAAGATCTGATTACAGATCTTGATACAAGATAATACGATTATCTTGTACCTAAATTTTCAAGATCTGTTCACTTATCTGTACCCAAGATCTTGACCAAGATCTTACTTACAAGATGTTCGACTAGGGAGATGAGTACCAGGTTTGTGAGCTTTTGGCAAATAATATAAATGTGCAAGCTCAACTTCATTTGGATTAATACATAATTTTTCATATTGCTTTTGAGTAATCCATTTAGCCAATCGTAGATCTAATAGATATTTATTTGTTCGTTTAATTAAATCTGGTAATGGATCTTCTGTTCCGAAGCATTTAAATGCTTTGGTCTTCTCCATGTATTCTTTAGATTTCTTTCGATAATCTTCTGATCTACCCAAATGAAGTACTTTTGATTTATCAGATTTTCTTAATACTGTATTAGTCAATCTGAATTTGTGTTTTAGTCGTTTAATTAGTCGACCGTAATTTTTCTTTTTTTTTGTATTATTGGGTGTGGGTGTGGGTGTGCGGGTAAAGGATTGAATTACATGCAGACAAACAGCAACACCCACATCGACACCCACACACCCACACCCACAGCCCATGTTTCATTCATTCTCTCTTTATATATTAGAAATTACTGACAAACGATCGTTGCATGTGAGACAAGAGAAGAAAATGATTGACTACAGACTGTCCTACCCAACTAGCTCCATGTTGTTCGTTTGCGTAAGAAAGTGGACTGATGTATCTTTCTTCTTTCCTCTTCACGACAGTGATCGAAGGTAACTATTTGGTAGGTGTACGATGATAAAAAAAAACGTCACATATGGGTATTTCTATCTAACTGCTTACTCATCTTTTCGTTACGATAAAAGAAAAAAAATGTACGCATCAGTAATTTTGCAGTAAAAAAGACGTAAATACGAGCCCTTCGTGTATTTTCATTTAATTTTTTGTTTTCGTTTCAATTCACAGGTGATGTATTCGCGCATTCTTTCTCGACTTCGAACGGTCTTGGACATTTTTCGAAGGTAATTATCAATCTAATATTTTTATCTTCGTCATGTCATACAATTGAAATCTTTTCAAATCAGAACTGGTTGGCCAGGTAAAAAGAGTGATTCTGAATTCTATTCTATTTTCGTAGTTTTAAGCGGGCAACAAAATCAGAAGCTTACGAGCAAGTAGGGACAAACGAGTGTAACTCTTGTTTCTTAAATTTTCTTGCATAATCCAGCTTCGCGATTCGAATATCCTATTCTACGTTTTTTTACATTAATTCATTCTTGGAAATATTGTGTTTTTCTTCAATGAAACAGAAGAAAAAGATCTTGAGACGACTGAAAAATTTCGATTCGTTTGTGATACATATAGCTTGATTGGCAGATTTTGATCTTATCCGAACATCACTATATGTGTCTATCTGACGACAACAAAAATTGTTCGTATTAAACATTGAATTGTTGTTTCGAAATCTATGATAAATAAGACTTCATTTTATATAAAATTGTCCTTATAGGAACCATAAGGCAAGAAAAGATTAAATTTCAGCTGAAATGTTAACTTCTATTTGAACTTTATATGAATATGAAGTAGCCTAAGAAAAATTTGGACAATAAATCAATTTCTTTTGATAAAATTCGACTATATGGCGTTTGACTTCAGTTTGATTCCAGAAAATATTTTTCCACACGGATAAATGAAGCTGATAATAGTTTTCACAAAAATATTTACTTGACAAAAAATATTGATTCTATTAAAAAAAAAGTACAATAAATAAACATATATGAACTTCCTCATTGCTTTATATGTTTTGAAAAGATCTAGGAAAGAATCTTCTAAAAATTGGTTAGAATCTCTCCATTTGTTTATACAAGGACCTAAATCAAGATCAAAATAAATCCTATTATAGTCCTGAATTGTTAGGATTCTGTTAGGGTGTGGGTGTGGATGTGTGGATGCCAGTGTGAGGTATCAACACCCACACCCTTCAGAAATGATCTATATAAAGGCTAGGTTGTTTTTGGAGAATACTACACTAAGATTGTCTCAATGAGGAATTTTAATAAACCTCTGATTGGCTAGCTAGAGAATGAAATTAAAGATATAAGGAATATTTAACAAGAAAGTTTCGACTCTAGAATTTCTCATCAAAAATTTTCGCGTTAGAAATGTAATGATTTTTCGAACTAACGTAAGTGAAGTCTACAATCAGATAGGGTTTTAATCAAAGAGGATGATATTATGCCGAAATCGAATGAAGAGTGGCAGCAGCTAGCTGCGATTAAATGTCTACGGTCCAGATCTGGCTAATTTCAATAAAAATTAGAACTGTCAACAAATCTACGAAGTATTTTCGAATGAAGTGTGAGAGCATTTGCGCTGCATATGCACAATATCTGAATAGAAAATTTGACGGAAAGCATCACGCAAAGGATTCAGATTCACTCTAGTCGAGGTAGATTTGAATGAAATACAATGAATTTTTCCACTATTATGTATTCTTATCTGTGTGCTTTCAATTGTCTAAATTTATTCGGATGTATTGATATTCACTGTGTAATCCGATGACTACATTGATTAAGGGCGTCACTTAAGTGGTTTAATCTGACAACAGGTATGATCAAATATAATTTATTGTAATCTAGCAGCCCAGCTAAACTCGTATTTTGGTAGCCGACGCTAACAAATGACATTGCCAGTTGATGTGCTAGTAACTATACGGACCTTCTTTTAGAGTTTTTAATGTGCATGGTGCGTTTCCAGGCTAGTGTCGCGGATGCGATTTCTATTGTGATTCTCTCAGCTTATTGAAGACCATCCCTTTTCTCGGAACGTGTTGATACTGCTGCCTTAACGTGGCTCATATAGACTTTCGTTGGGTATTACTTTGTGGGTGTCGATTTGACTGGATGAATTTATAGCAAAATGTATCACACGGACACGAATAACATTGAGCACAAGGAGACTGATGCCGATATAAATATCCACACTCACACGCAACCTTGCTCAAACGTGAGGTGTCAGCTTTTTAGCGCTGTAAAGCAATATATAATACTAAAGCAGTCAAATATTCAGTCGAGGGTCAAGCGAGTCACACGGACGAGCGTTACTTGTCTTTTTGGTTACCATTTAATATCATGATAATATCATCTACATAACGATATAATAACTCAGGTTTCTTTCCCATATAGTACTTAATTTTAAGTTCAACTTCACTCATAAATAGATGAGCTAGTATGGGAGTTAAAGGACTGCCAATACTGACACCGTTAATTTGATCATAATTTGCATTATTAAAGAGAAAGTTGGTTTTCATCGTGCAATAATTAAATAATTCTGTTAAATTATTATCATCTATAGTAAGTTTGGGATGTAAGTGTCTTATTTTCTTAATTACAATAGGTATAGCCTTTTCTAAAGGTACATTAGTAAATAAGGCTGAAACATCTAACGAACACATCAATCCATATTTGTTCTTATTTAGTTTAATTTTATCAATGAAGTCAAATGAATCTTTAATGTAAGATTTAGTTTCAGGTATGGCAGGACTTAGTAAATTAGCTAAGTATTTAGCTGCATTATAGTTATATGCATCGTAGCTGGATATAATAGGGCTAACTGGTAAATTCTGCTGGTGCACTTTGATAAGAAAATATGCTTCTAGTGTCCTAGAGCATGTTTTTTGTCGCATTAATTTGTCTTCTTCATCATTAATCACTTTTTGTTTTTTTAAGCTTAATAAGAATTTTATAAGTTCTTGTTCACGTTGTTCTGTAGGATTATCCTTTAATTTTGTAAATGCTCTATTATCATCAAGAATTTCTTGGGTTTTCATCATATAATCTTCTCTATTCAACACCACTATTGCATTTCTCTTGTCTACTTTTGACATGACCAAAACTCTATCATTTCTAAGTGAATCTATAGCTCGTTCTTCTTCTAATGAAATATTTGGGATTTCATTTTTCACTTTAAAATTAATTTTGTTTCCAAACTCATTTAAAATATTTTTAATTTTATTTGATTTATCGTTAGAACTAAGTAATTCACTATTTTTCAGGCATACATAAACATATTCTAGATCAATCCTAACATTTAATATATTCATTTGTTTGTTTTTCATAGCATATTTCCATCCTTTTGATAAGAAGTTTTCTCTTCTTCCGTTAGGGAACGGTAAGAGAAATTATATACTAATTTGTTATTGAAACCATCCAAATAGATAGGAATTTTTAACGATATGAATTTCTTCGTATGTCGCTCCTTTATTGCATTAGTTTCGCTCCTAATTATATCTTTTAAATAAAATTTAATTCTTGTCCATAGCATAATGTTAAATTCATTTTTCAATCTCAATTCTAAATTATCTATACTTATATTTACTCGTTTTAGTAGTTTTTCTTGCGTTCTGTATTCATCAAAGAGCATAGTTTTAACTTGATCTGCGTATTTATTAGTTCTTATCAATTTTTATTATGAGGTTTGAACCTAATGAATTTAGGATAAATCTTATATAATAGGTACACTCTAAGAAGTTCAATAGCTTGTTCAACATGACATTGTTTTAACTTCAGTTTTTCATATTGTCTGTATGTTGCTAATGTATTCTCACTATGTTTTGTTAATGGTGGTAATTAATGTTTCATTACGATTTTTTGTAACTCGGTGAATACATTTAATGAGAAATAATAGAATTATAGACATCGATAACGTTTTTATTTTAGACGTTTTGTGAATATCTATTCACATCATCAGTCAAAGATAAAATACAACCAGTACACACAACCAATATAAAAAAAAGAAAAAGTAAACAAACTCGTTTTTGTCGAACTATCCAGTAAAATAAACGTTTATTTTACTAGATAGCTCGACATAAGGGAGTTTGTTTACTTTTTTCTTTTATATTGGTTGTGTGTACCGGTTGTATTTTATCTTTGACTGATGGTGTGAATAAATATTCATGAAACGTCTCAAATAAAGATGTTATCGGTGTCTATGATTCTATTATTTCTCATTAAATGTATTCACCGAGCTACAAAAAATCGTAATGAAACTTTTTATTTCTTTTTGTAAATATCAAAGTATTATATCCCCAATATGAATGTTTTGAATGTAGAACAAAGAGAAATAGAAAATTTCGTAGTTTAAAACTATTGTTTTAATTCTTTCTTTATAGTTAATGCACAAAACATATCAAAACTATA